TAATACCCTTCCAACTGAGTTCCATGAATGAAGCAACAGGATGGGTGTTTGGAGAGCAAAATTGTTTCCCTTTTAGGCTGGCTATTGATCATATTCAACTAAGGAACCAAATAGTAACTATTTTCTGCCGCAATTAAGGCCACTCACTATCTTCATTATATTTTTTAAGAGATATGTATAGGATAATACTGCATTCATTTCCAAAATCTTGAATTTGTATTTATTAATACCTTTCAGTTGGAATTCCCGTGCTTCTTCCCTTAAAAAATCTTGCTAAAAATGTCCATCAGGATATTAGACTGAAAACAGATCTAACTATATCTAATTTTCTCCAACAGGAAATGAGACATGGATGCCATCATCTACCCATTCCTAATCTAGTCTACATTCTCCTCAATAAAGTAAAGCCACATACTATAATAAAACATTGAAGTGGTGTAATATAGCTGTATTTTACATGGAAATATGCAATTCCTTAAGCTCTTCTCTAAGATTTTGTGTTATGGGAAAACAAACTATGTGGGAATTATTGCATTATTGATTTTTGATTAGGATTTAACATTATGAAAGTTTTATTGTTTACCATAAAGACATTTCATGGCAAATAGAAGTATGCTGTTGTAAAATAAACTAAGGCAGATTGGTATTTTTCCTGGCAACTGAGCACTTAATGACCATTTTTCTGAGTTATCCTCCCCAAAACATAGTAAAAAAAAAAAAACAATAATTCGAACAAAGTATATCTTGAAAGTTTAGGATCTATTTATCTTTCAGTAGCTTAATTGATGGAAACTAAAATGAGACATCTTTGAAATACAGATAACAGTGGTAGTAGATGCCACCCTAGATATCATGTTTGTTGATCACCTCTCAGTAAATTGGAAGGCACAATACAATTTATTTTGCAGCACCATTAACATCACCGAGACTGGCAACAGAATTGCCTTGCCTTTGTCACTTTTCTGAAAGGATTTTAAAAGTTTGGAGTACCAACTGACATATGATGAAACCTGTTCATTCAAAGCTCAGGAAACCTTCTCTTCCCTTCTTGCTGTATCTCTCACCCTCTAACCAAGCAAAAACTAAACAAGTTTAAAAGCTGCCTGTAATGAAAGGGGATCAAATGTTCAGGAAAGGAATTTTATTTGTAGGAAAGCAAAACAGACCAAGAAACTTGAGTGGCCCTAATAATTGTCATTGGGACAGGATCATTGGAAAGTTTCATTAATTTTCCATTTCTCAACTAGTTATTTCACCTTTTACTTTTGTTTTTATCTGGAAGGCTTAACCTTACTTCAAACAACCCAGTAGATTGTAAAGAGAACAACTTATATCAAATGGATTTGGAAGTATCAATTGTTTCACGTTCTAGAAAGGTTATATTGGCTGAAAATGGAATGAGTTAGGTTTTATAGCCATATTGCCAGCGTTCGCTTGCCTTTTGAACTTGATTATGAATTCCATGAGGGCAGTAACTGTCCTCTCCTGTGTTAAAATGCCAACAATCTTGTGGGTGCTTAATATATGTTAATTGATGATGACAAAAGATAAAGTGACACTTATTCAGTCTTAGAGCCCTTCCTATATGTTATACTTATGGTTACAGATTTGGCAAGGTCACTCTATGGGATCTGCAGAAACCCCAGTAAGGCAGAGTGGAAGAAACAAAGTCTTGAAGAGAAGACATGAGTGGGTTGGAATTCTGATGCTGCCACTTACTAGCTCTTTGATCTTGAGCCTGATTCTTCATCTGTAAAATAGGGATAATAATACCTTCCCACAGAGTCACTTTCAGGATGAAATGAATTAACTATGCATAGTGTCAAACTGCTCATGGTTTTCAGAATATGTTATGCAGTTTACTGCTTTCAAGTCTGTGCCTGGAGCCCTGAGCTTGGAATAGTCATTCCCTTCATAGCCACACTTCGCTTACTTAACCTGTTGTCTGGTTAGTTCCTGGTAAGTGCCTGGTCTTCCGTAAAAACCCAACTCAAGTATTAACTTATTTGTGAAGCATGCCTTGGCTCAACAAATTGTAGATAGAGATGGTTGCTTAATGCTGAATGAATGAGTGTCTGGAACCCAATAATTGCTAAGTATATGTTGCTTTTTCACCACTATCCCCTTTGCTGCTTAATCCCAACCAATCTCTCTTTAAGTGGCCTGTTTAATACTGCTTATTGCCATTTTTTCTGAAAACTTTCCAAAGTCAATTGTATAGGGAAATCTAACTCTCCTACTGGGAAAAGAGGAGTCGATAATTGCTAACAATAATACAATCTACCAAAAAAAGCAACAGACAGCTTATTCCAAACTTGAACAAAATTGAGGGAATATACTACCCATGAGTCATTTGTGAAAAAATACTTGGCAATATACAAAGTCAAATAAAATAAGAAATAAGTACAAATAAAAAATGAAGAATGGAGATTTTGCAGTAAGCAAATCTATTTAAGTGGAGGACTAAGCCCAAACAACAGATTGATTATGACTATGTGACAATGAAACTTATAAACCCCGGCACCGTAAATTCCATTCATTTTTTTCAATACATATTAAACATATATCATTTAGTACTTACTCTGTGCCAGGCAATGTTGTAGGCATTGTGGATATAATTATCATCAAGTTGAAATCTTGGTCTTCATGGAAGTTACATTATAACGGAAGAGATATAAAATCAACATTTGCACATATATAATCTAAATATATAAGACAAGATCAGAAAGTAGTAAGTACTATAAAGAAAAATAGAGGGAGGGGAGCATCACACACTGGGGTCTGTAGAGGGGAAATAGGGGAGGGACAGCAGGGGGTGGGGAGTTGGGGAGAAATGCCTGATATAGGTGATGGGGAGGAAGGCAGCACATCACACTGCCATGTGTGTACCTATGCAACACTCTTGCATGTTCTTCACATGTACCCCAAAACTTAAAATTCAATTGAAAAAAGGAAAATAGAGCAAAGGGATATAGAATGATGAGGGTGTTATTGTAAATTGTGTGGTCAGGGACAGCCCCTCTGAAAAGGTGATGTAGGATCAAAGAATGGAATGAACTAAGGGAAAGGGCCATATAAATATCAGGGGAAGAACATTTTAGGCAGTGGAACATGTCAATAGCCTTCAACCAAAGACTACCAGAAACATACCCATAGCTGACAAATTGGGTTTATTACTCTTACTCAAAGGAGGGAGAACACACACTATAGGTAACTATGATGTGTTTCAGTAAGAGGTTGTTAGAATCAACCTAGTATAGGATTTGGGCAATATGGGGGAAAGTCTAGGAAGCAGGAGTTCCATCTCAGACACATCAGAAAGCAGGGGCTATATGATTGCACATTTCAATAATCTTATTGAAATGGGAAATCTTATAGGGAGAGGAAACTAGAGGGAGGATAAAGCTGTACATTAACTGGCAAAGTAGCGGTGACCTATGTTGACCAAGAGGGGGTATTTGGTGTTTTCTGGGTGTCACAATAAACTTGTTTTTGTCTGTACTTAGACAAGCTTGTGAAGTGGCCTTGTTTTGTCTCACTTGGTCAGTCTCCCAGTGATCTTGTCTTGTGTTGGTGTTCTGTGATTTTATGTTCAACAAGAGAAGAATATGCCTAACTGTGAGTGCGAGGCCAGCTCGTGGATATCAGGAGCTGTCCCCACTTCCTTTCTCAAACAGCAAGCGAAAAGGCTTATAATATAAGGAACAAGGCTGGGTGCTGTGGCTCACCCCTGTAATCCCAGCACTTTGGGAGGCTGAGGTGGGTGGATCACCTGAGGTCAGGAGTTCGAGACCAGCATGGCCAACATGGTAAAACCGTGTCTCTCCTAAAAATACAAAAATTAAATCCCAGGTACTTGGGAGACTGAGGCAGGAGAGTCACTTGAACCCAGGAGGTGGAGGTTACAATGAGCTGAGGTCGTGCCATTGCACTCCAGCCTGGGCAACAGAGTGAGACTCCATCTCAAAAACAAAACAAAACAAAACAAAAACCAATTTTAGAAGTAGTGGGAGAGGAAGGAGGAAGCACAACAGTGGCTATCACCTCATCTTTAATAGAAAGTAGTCACTTTCTACCATATTATTTTATGTAACATACTTATACTAAAACATTGTTCTTTATGTGAAATTCAAAGGTAAGTGGGCCTACTGTATATTTCTTTTTGCTATTAACAAATCTGACAACACTGAAATAAACACACTTTCAGCTGTCTACGAAATACTTTGAATACTTTGTCCCTTTTCTTACCATCTCAGATTTTTCTTTTAATTCAAATAGACTCCAAAAAAATGTGAATCTATTTGAGCCAGTCCTATTTGTTATATATGTACATATATACACACATAACCAAATGTGCATATTTTATACACACACGCAAACACATGACACAGAGTGCACCCAATATTATAGTACATGTAATACACAGTCACGGAAAGCACCTGAACATGAGAAGAATTGACTATGTTGTTGATATGGTCATTCTGTGAAATGTCTCCAGTGGCTTGTCGTCCTGCCATTCAGTAGTTATTTCCAGTACGAGCCTAAGAAAGACGTGGTCTTCGTGAGGATTTAGACCTGGCAAGCTCAATGCGGAACCAAAGGATGAGCGAAATCGGTTGCAGTGGTGGTTTATTTACACCAAGACACACACCTCTTTACCTTGGCCGGAGGCCACGCAGGCATGGGGAAAGGTTTTGCCAACGTACTCGCAAGGATTCCCATGGTTTCCTTTGCTCCCAGCTGTTGTGCGGGCTGGGTTTTTGGAGCAAAGGCAACGGATACTGCTGAGGCTCCTGAGAGTGTCTCGTTTTCGAGGCTGCAGTAGCTCCAGTGTCCGGTTCTGCGGTACCGAGAGGGAGGCCTCAGGCTCCGAGGGGAAGTGTTGCAGTTGGTCCTAGAGCCCCAAGCCCAGCAAAGCCTCCGGTTCCCTGCTGGGGCGCACCTCTCGCTGAAACTCTTGCTCTCTGACTGGAGAATGGAATGGCCTCAACCAAGGCTCCCGGAACCAGCCCTGCCGCTCCCTCTTGTGATCCCATTCTCAAGAGCGGCTTTCTGCGCCGCGTGGCATCTCCTTCGCTTCAGCGCCCTTGTGCGACTATTGCGGCAACTACTTAGGCTCCTACGGGACGAGGAGAGGGAGGTGAGCCCGTGGCAGAAGTGAGTGAGATCACGATCGCACCTTAGCTCTAAGGAGCCCGCTTGCCTTCAACGAGTCTGCTTCACCTTTTAGCCCGCTTCTGACGTTTTGCATTTCGCTCCTTCTACCTTCACTACTCCCATTTCCATCCTTTTCTGCAATCTGTCCACGGCAGCTCCTTGTTCGCCCTTCTCCCTTACATTCTTACTCATCCTTGGGCCCCTTTGTAGGGTGCCCTGGTCTCCCTCCACCCTCTTTCACCTCTGATCTCGGGGTGGACACGGCTAAGGGTCACAGATCTATGTATAGCATTTATTTCTTTTGTGTTATCATTCGTGAACATGTTTTTATTCTCCACTACACTGAGCTCGTGGAAGGAAGGACCCCTATTTTATTCATTACAGAATTTGCAGTGCCTGATAGGGCTCAAACTACTGAATGTTGTGTTTTGTATGTTGCGTGAATGAACAGATGAGTTTGAGATACTAACAGGCTAAGTAAAGGGAAATTCCTTGTAAGGAGTTGGAAGGGGTTGAGATTAAGGGTTTAAATTGGAAAGGAGAAATAACTTTCTCTGAGACAAGATAATTGGATGAATGTAGGCAAAGTGATGTGCTAAATTGTAGATGTGGCTACCTTGAGGAAGGTCTTATGTGGTCTCAATCTTGATATTGAAGAATGAGAGGAGAGTGAGATGAGTTTTCCTCTAATGAGAGTGAATATTGGAGTGGGAAGTAGATGGTTTGAGAAAGAAAATAGTTATTGCTGTGTACGTACTCATATCAAATGTTTATTGAGTGTGTCAGGTACTATACTGAGTGCCTGAGTGCCTTACATGCATTATGGTTAAAAAAAATGAGAAATTTTAAAACATTACAGGTATTGAGGAATAGGTTGAAATTCCAACAGTTGGGAGATGTCTTGATGAGTCTTTTTCTTCCACTAGTGGGATATAATAAAGTATAGTGATGAGAAGGACAGCTACTAGATTCAGACTTTCCGAGTTTGAAGCCTTGCTTTGACACTTAATACCTGTGTGGCCTTGGTAACCTCTCCAAACTTCGTTTCTTTCCCACCTGTAAAAGGGGGATACAAAAGTACTTACATTTTTAGGGTTATTGTAATGATTTAGTGCCTTGCACATAATAAACATTTCACAGGTGTTGGCTATTATGGTTTCATGCTTGGGAGCAGATGCAGTAAAAACAGTCCTGAGTCAAGTTAAAGATACATCTCTTTTGCCCATGTGGGAGAGCTGAGTGAAACTACTGTGCCTTTCCTCTGAGGAGCCCTCCTATCTTTGGGATAGAAAGGTCCTCCCAGTTATTGTCAATCAATAAACTTATTATTTTAGAATCCTAAACAAAAGATATAAGAACAACTTGGGTAAAATTTGCATTTGTGCACATAGAAAATAAATAATTTATCTTAAGGTACAGATAAAACCAGGTAGCAGCAGGTACTGTTATAATCATTTGCTGTTCATCATGTTGATGGAGGAAGGATTCTCACCCTTTGTGTTATGGAGTAGCTAAACACAGGACAGATGAGATCAACAGCAGTTTATTAATCACATATACTCACAGCTGGAATGGGAGAGAACACAGCGTGCCACGAAGGGTCACACAGAGGTTGCTGTCAGTAAGACAGTGAATAATCAGGAGCTGTGGGAGTTAGATTTTGTGGTATCAAGAAATTAGGCAGGCACGGTGGCTCACACCTGTAATCCCAGCACTTTGGGAGGCTGAAGTGGGTGGATCACGAGGTCAGGAGTTCAAGACCAGCCTGACCAACATGTTGAAACCCCATCTCTACTAAAAATACAAAAAGTAGCCAGGCATGGTGGTGCATGCCTGTAATCCCAGATACTTGGGAGGCTGAGGCAAGAGACTTGCTTGAACCCCAGAGGCGGAGGTTGCAGTGAGCCAAGATTGTGCCACTGCACTCCAGCCTAGCAAGAGAGCGAGACTCCGTCTCCAAAAAAAAAAAAGAAAAAAAAAGGAAAGAAATTGAGGTAATACCTGCTTTCCCTTGGAAGGATATGATTGGCTTGTTTGAATAATTCCATAGGCTGACAGTGTACTAAAATCTGCTACCCAGAGATAAGCTCGAACTGTATCTGGTCCCTTTGAGAAGGAAGGTCATTTGGCTAGGGGACCTTACTTGCAGGAGCAGAATGGGGAGGAGAATTCACAATTAGGCCATTGGGAGCCCTCCTGATTTCCCAAATTGTTAAGGTAGTACACAATATTGGGCCTTAATTTTGTGCCTCACACCGCAAAGACTGTGTCTTTATAGTCTGGCAGGCATCCTTGGTCCCTATACTCATATTCCAAGAATTATTAGACGTATGTTTACTTTTAGATTGCCTGCTGTTGAAATGAGAAACCGGAGTCTAACTCTGTATACTTATAATATCTTTTCCCTGAATAAAGAAGTAAAAAATAATTTATTCAAACAATGAAATCAAATATATTTATTTTATGAGGCTTTTAAAAAACAAATGAAGACATAAGCAGCTAAACTTTGGGGAATTGAACCTCTCTTGGTTAAATTTTTTCAGTTTATGAGTAACAGCAAAAATTAAAACAATAAATGACAAACATTATAACACACAAAAAAATTAGTGTCCTCCAATGTAGGGCCCAGCCCTACAGGGTTCAGTGAGCCCCTCTCTGCTGGTGTGGAGATGAGAAATTGTAGAAATAAAAGACACAAGACACAGAGATAGAGAAAAGAGAGTTTGGGCCCCAGGGATCCACTGCCAACCAAAGTGTGGAGTCCAGTAGTGGCCCTGAGTGCCTGGATGCTCTTTTATTGAGCACAAAGCTGGGGGCAGGGTAGGTAGGGTGTGGCATTGGTGTTCGGTGGCTGGAGGCAGGGTAGATAAGGCGTGGCAGTGGTAGGGTCAAGTACATCACGTGTTATACAGGTAGGGACTCAGGAATTTCTAGTAGCCAAGATGAGGTAAGGAGCATAATGCATCAGCACTTTTCTGTGCTTGTTAAGAAAGAATAAAGACATTAAGATTTATATTACTTTAACTGATTATCACTTCTAAGTAAAAAGGAACCAGGTGCAGAAGTGGAACATGAGAGCGGACATGGATCGTGACCACTGAAGCACAGCATCACATAGAGACAATTAAGCCCCTGGATATCTGTGGGCCTACCTGACAGTCGTCAGGCCTTACCACAAGAGCTTGGAGAACTGGAGTTTTCTCCTAACTCCTCTAAGGAAGGAGAAGTCTCAGCCATCTCAAGTGTCTCCTTCCCTAGCTGGCTAAACAGCGGGCACTTTTTCAGCACTGGCACTGCCACACAGTCAAGGTGCCCTCCAGCAGTCTTTACACAGGTGTGACAGAGGGCCCAAAGCGTCTTGCCTTAGGGTCATTTCTTTCACAATATCACCCCAGGTTCACACTTCTGACCTGAGAGGCATCAGTAAAAGAATTAGGATCACCTATGAATAACTAAGATTACCAATGAATAACTAATAACTACAACAGTTATATTTCTAGTTACTTTCTTCTTCATTATTTATATGGAAATAGGCTGAGGCTTCTGGCTCCTGCCTCAGCACTTATGGGATATACCCCCTACACTCCAAAGAGCAGATGTACTCCTTTCTTAAAAGGAACTAAAGGTAGTGTAACATACATAAGAGTTAAAACATGTTGCTAGTGGATTGTAGGATGCTAATTGTTTTCTTTAAATTTTATTCATGGGGTGCTAATTTCCTATTATTGAAGAGTTCAGTGTTAAAACAGATAATACATTTATATTTCGAATTTTTTTCCTCAACCCAGGAGAAGGTTGCATTCCAGATAATAGTATTACACAGCAATTTTTTAAAAAAATGAGTGAAGGATATGAACAGACACTTTTCAAAAGAAGACATGCAGGAGGCCAACAAACATATGAAAAAATGCTCATCATCACTGGTCATTAGAGAAATGCAAATCAAAACCACATTGAGATACCATCTGATACCAGTTAGAATGGCAATTATTAAAAAATCTGGAGACAACAGATGCTGGAGAGGATATGGAGAAATAGGAACGCTTTTACACTGTTGGTGGGAGTGTAAATTAGTTCAACCATTGTGAAAGACAGTTTGGTGATTCCTCAAGGATCTAGAAGTAGAAATTCCATTTGACCCAGAAATCCCATTACTGCGTATATATCCAAAGGACTATAAATCGTTCTACTATAAGGACATATGCACACGAATGTTCATTGTGGCACTGTTCACAATAGCAAAGATCTGGAACCAACCCAAATGCCCATCAATGATAGACTGGACAAAGAAAATGTGGCACGTATACACCATGGAATACTATGCAACCATAAAAAACGATGAGTTTGTAGGGACATGGATGAATCTGGAAACCATCATTCTCAGCAAACTGACACAAGAACAGAAAACCAAGCACCACATGTCCTCACTCATAGGCAGGTGTTGAATAATGAGAACACGTGGGCACAGGGAGGGGAACATCACACACTGGGGTCTGTTGGGGGGTGGGGAGCTAGGGGAGAGACAGCAGAGGGCAGGGAGTTTGGGGAGGGATAACACTGGGAGAAATGCCTGATGTAGGTGATAGGGGGATGGAGACAGCAAACCACCATGGCATGTGTGTACCTGTGCAACAATCCTGCAAGATTGCACATGTACCCCAGAACTTAAAGTACAATAAAAAAAAATGAAGATAGGAGTGTAGTTTGGTAGTTAATTTTTCTGTATCCAATACTATGTGAAATCTGAATGCTTTTTTTTTTTCTTATTTCTTTTCTCTTTGGTGTTACTCATAAGTTTCTTCTTCCCTCTCTATTTCTGTGTTTACATTGAGTTGAGACAATGTGCTTCACAGGTAAGCCTATAATTTGTGACAAGGTGATAAAGCATTATTATCTGAAGTATATTTTTATAGATACCCTTGGGAAATGCTTAGAGAACCTGGAGTCATAGAATCAGAGTCAGAAGGGACCCTAAAAATAATT